TAAAATAGAATAGCTTAGCAACTTACAAAGAAATGTAGTAAATGACAGAAATCACTGGTGGATTTTCAACATGCAACAATTAAAATAGATTATCACATGTAACTCAAAGTGAAAATAATGACACAATCAAGATGTTGACATTCCAAACTACTTCAAACAAAAGGTTAGAAAGGAAGCTCTTGCCAATACTGGAAAGAGTGGAGTTGAGAAATCTATTTTCATGAAAAGAGGTTTTAAGAAAAAGATTCTATAAATTTCAACTGAATGTTGCACTGGCTGCTTTGGTCAATGAATGCTGAATGTTTCCTTATACCCACGAATGCATATAAGTTCCAGGACGCAAGTTCAAAGCAAACTTGCAGATAAGTTGCCGAGATTCTATTGTAAATACAATCTTATATATTTTTATAACCTTCAGGACTAGAAAATGCAATAAGATAAATAATTAAAACAAAAAAAAACAAAAAAAAAAACAAGGAAAATTTATTTGATTTTAGATTTGACAGCAATGAAAGCTACTCAAAATGTTGACCAAAATGAACTGAACAATCCTGTATGGGAGTCCTACAACCCCACAAACATTGTAGGTAGTTGACCTAAAATCTATATGGATAGTCTAGTGCACTCTTATGAGGTCTTCAGGTGTGATATTAGTTGATGGCTGCTTTAAACACTTATTGTCACTGACAGATGATTGTCTTTTGCTAAAGTGTTTATAACACAAAAATGTTATTAAAAAAAATTCAATGTAAAATTTGATGCAGATTCCCAACTTCTTAAAATCAGTCATTTCAATGATGAAAATCACCAAGCCACTACAACAATAAAAATAATCACAATTCAAGATCATAGCCTCACAGCTTTCTTGTTGCAGGCAACACAAATGGTAATGGCAAAAATACATCAAGCTCATTGTTTAACTTTGGACAGCCCCTTATGTAATAGCAAAAAATATATTAAAACTATAACATAATTGACTATTATTAAAAGTTAATTACAATTATAAAAACATAAAATGAAATAATATAAAACAAAATATTGCATTAGGCCTGACTTAGTTCACTTAAAATCAGAATTTTGGGAAACAAAGCATTAAATGCAACCTGTTTTCTTTATTCTCTTATCAAAATTTTACTTATTGGTCTCACTGAAATTGTTTGACTAGATTTTTTCAGGTGTTCCCCAGGGTTCAATGACTAGACCTATGTAGTTTCTAATTTTCATGTCATCAGTTTGCAACTCCATATCTATGCTGATGACAACTATTTACTCATGTCTTAATAGTCTGATCAGTTCAATAAAATCAAATTGGTAGTAACTGATTTTAAAAAAAAAAAAAGACCTACAATCTGTTGTTAAATGAGGTAAATGGCTTGTTAATTTTAACAACTCAAAAATGAAACTGCTCTCTTCTAATCATCAGAGAGAACCCGTTTTACCTTCCATCAGCATGGATAATGCTAACCTCCATGACAGTGATTCATTGCGTCATCTCAGACATTTTCAGCTGACATGACATGAAAAGAGTATATTGAATCAACAGCTAAGTCTGCAGCTAAGAAAGTTGCTTCACTATGACATGCTAGACAATTTTTCATGCCAGAATCTATCTTACATATTTATAAGTCTACCTTTTGTCCTTGCTTTGAGTGTTGCTGCCACATCTAGACTAATGCTCCTGATACATATTTAGAGTGTCTTGATAAAATCCAGAGAAGAATCTGCAATGTTATTGGTCCTGATCTGGCATCAGTCCCTTTCCTACAACCATAATGTAGCTTCCTTGTGCCTTTTCTATAACTGATTTCATGATAATTGTTCTGATGAACTTTCCTCTATGGTACTTAGACTTTATGAATTTAAGCATAAGTACTAGATTGGTGGCAGGGCCTCATCATTTTACAATTGAAATGGCTAGATGTAACCATAAGTTCTATTTTAAAAGCTTCTTCTATCGCACTTCTCATTTGTGAAACTCTTCTGGCTTCCTGCTTCCCAGTCAACTTTCATCTTCAAAAATTTAAATGCAATGTCAATCATTATCTTTTATCTTAATTCTTGTTGTTATTGTCCTCTCTCTTTAATAGTAGTTTTTTCTCATATTCTCTAACACCCAGTAACCCTTTGCATCCTAGTGGCTTTATTGCCTTGCTTAAGGTGAAATGAAAAAAAAAAAAAAAAAAAAAATCACTCAAATGTGTTCACTAATTTACAAAACAGTTTTAAAATCAAGGTTTAAATAGTATTTTCCTTTGTTGGCATTTGTCTGTGTCTGTGTTAAGCGCTTCCAGTTACAGTGTGTATATCTCAGGAAACTGAAGAATTACAAAAGTCTTTTAAAAATAAAATATTGCACCTAAGTCATTTTTATTGGTTTTGTTCACTTAAGATAAAAATAATTAAAAAAAAACAATATAAAATAAACAGTGACAGCCAGAAAATCCATATCTACTAATAAAAAAAAAAAAAAAAAAAAAAAAAAAAAAAAAAAAAAAACTACTTTTCTACTCACATTTTCTTGGCAAATTCCCAATGTGTCAGGTAAAGAAGAAACATAAAAGTGTTAGTATTTGTCCTAAAATTACAAACCAGTGTCAGATCATCTTTTATTAAATAAGCACTGAATCCGAGATTATACAAATTAGCAGCAAATTTTAACTATGAATATGTGAAAAAGAAAAACGCATACAAATCAAACAAATAAATTATAACCTTCATTTTCAGAGGTTTATGGTCAAAAATCTTTTGTCTGGAAAAGTAATAAAATTTCTTCTACTAAGAAAACAAGACCATAAGTGCATTTAAAATTAGTCAGACATCCCTAAAAAATAATCAAAATCAGATATGCAGTGTTTAACAAATGGTTATAAACCTAAGAATTACTCACTCTATAATATATTGAGCCATTCTTTGACAGGATTTTTTTTTAGTAAACTGATTTATACACACTGAAATATTGTATTGTTTTCAATCCCCTTATTTCATTTCTGAGCATCTCAAAAAAGAAAAAAAAAAAAAAAAGAAAAAAAAATAGCAAAATTTGAACATTAAAAAATTGAAGAAACAATTGAGCAAAGTTTGTAAAATGATTAAAAAAAAAAAATTTGAAAAAGTTTTCCTTTACTTTTTATATCAGGGGACGTAACTTCGTTAAAAAAAAATCTATGGCGGGGAGAGAATGGAGCTAAATATCTGAACTGTAGTTTATTTTTTTGTAAAATAGTGACTCCAATCCCATAGGTTCCCTAGTAAAAACAAAACATGAGAACCCCCTATCTGCAAGAGCACCATTTTATTATATCAATAAGTAATCTGATGGCTGAGTTAATTATTAAAATCCCATAATAGAAAAATGCCTTTGTGTAAAGAATACATGGCATGTTTGCAGTAATCATTTATTATTTTGAATATTCTTTTACAGAGAAAGACTGGCTTGATTTGTTATTTTCTGATAAAAATTATACAATTGATTATTTAATATATAGGCACAAAGATATTTTCTTAAAATAAAAACTACTTCGGATATAACAACAAGAATGTTTTAGGTACCTCTCAATACAGTAATGGCTAATAAATTCATCTCACAAAACTTTACAACTGTATTGAGTTTGATTTTAAAAGAAAAAAAAGTGAAACAAGATCATAAAAACCATATTGAGGAAAAAAAATACAAAAATACATTTTTATAAAATTTTTCTGGCACACCAACTTTTCTACTTCAATATGTTGTCACTTAACATTGAAAAAATAATTCCTAAGATTAAAAATGAAATTTTATACCATCTATTATAAACAATTTTTGGATTATTTACTCATGTAAAAAATCAAAAAGAAAAAAATAAGATTCATTTACATTCTGGCTTCTTTTAATCTTGCCCATGCAGTAAATGTACTGATTATTAAAAATCATTAGTAGTATCAATAAGGCATTTTTATTTCACTTTAAAATGTGCATAAATTAGAAATTGTTAAAGCTCAAAAAAGCTGACAAAATTTCATAAACCAACATTTGCACTTTTTATCTTTTAATGTTTGACTTTCTGCTAGATTAAGCAAAATATGAATTTGTATGCTAAGCTAATGAAGACCTAGAATCCATTTAAAAAGGAGAAAATTCAGTTATTATGTCTCCCTTTGGTGGGATAATTTCTTTTAAATCTCCCAACATTAAAATAAAAACAATTTGTTTAAAAAAAAAAAAAAAAAAAAATCTGAGGACTTATCTGGATCAAAGTTTTAATTTTTTATAAAAAAATTAAAAAATAATAATAATATACACACACTTATATATAGTTCACACTGAATGCTGGTAGTAATAAAACTGATTCATGTAACTGAGCTAAAATTTATATTAAGAATAAATATACATTTGTTTCTCACTGTTCAATAAGGAACAAAACTCTGTGTGTGTGTATATATATATATATATATATATATATATATACATACACACAGATTTATCAAAGACCAATGTTTTGCTCCTCAGGGTTCAGATAAGAATATCACAAAACTTTAAGTCAATTTTTTGGTAAGTATCCTGAACTTTTTATATTTTTGAAAACAATGATTGCATACTTTGACAAAAATCTATTCACCTTGACATACATCATTTCATGTATATCAAAAGGTTTTATGATAAAAAAATATAAATACAAACTAAAAATAAATAAAAAGTAAAATAAGATTAATAAATATAAAATGATTAGATTTTACAAAATATCTCACTTGAAAACAAACCAAGTTAGGATGCTTCATTGTTTATGTAATGTTAACAAACAAGCCTTGCAAGTCATTACTACTGAAGTGAGTGATTCTTACTGGTTGACTGATACCAACAGCTGTATGAAATTAAACCAAATACAAACCAAGCTTTCTGTACACAGTTATTTTTCTTTTTAGTGCTTTCAACAATTGACTCAACCACCAGCCAATCAAGTTTTCTCAGTTTCCCCCTATACCAGTGCCCACTCCCCCATTTGAACAACATTGTGGATTCCTACCCTAAAAGCATTTGGATGTCTTCATCTCCATTGCCTGCAGGGGAGTCAGCTGCAATGCGGGTGTAAGCCAGTGTGACGGTCTGCTTCTGTCTGCCCTGCCTGTAGCGGACGGTGACCATAACAACGGTGCCTAGCAAACAGAAGAAGACTGAGAAGACGAGAAGAAGACAGCCCACAAAGAACCAGGTTTGATGGCTGCTCCCTAGATTGGGACCCAGAGACGTCATGTCAGGTCGAAGGAGTTGAACCTTGTGGGGTGGGGCTACCCCATTCGTCTCTGCACTTGATATTGCCGTGGCAAAAGTAGAACTGCTCTCATCCCCCTCAGCACCTGGGCCAGTAATAGCAAAACAGCGATTTTCCGGGCAACAACAGATTTCAGAGGAATTGCTCTGAAAAAGAAAACAATTTTAAGAAATAAGATATATCCAAAGATGAGAATCAGAAGAAGAAAAAAAATGATTTGACAGAAAATATGTGGGAGGAGAGAAAATGGTCCACATTACCCTATCTGGAATGAGATACAAAATGTAGAAAATGCCACTGGAACACAAGAAATTTGAAGGAAACCTCTGTTGCACAGACCAGTGTAGATTTCAGCATGTATGATTTTTCACAACTCAAAGAGCAAGCTGAAGAGTATCCCTGTATATAAATATACAATTACATGGGTGGCTCATCCTGCTGGAAATGAGTCAAGCCAGTTGTAAACTCAATAATAATGAAAATTAAATTTGGGGTAAATTTCAGTCTATTTCAGCTGACAATTGAAAAATGAAAACAATGGTGTTAGTTAAATATGGATTACCAAAAACTCACTATGACTCCTTTGTAAATTGAATATTCTCTACAAGCAGCTTCCGACCCCAAGGTTTTAATTTTTACTTCTTATTACAACTTTTTTTTTGTTAATGTTATCATTATTGTTACTATTTATATTATTTTGTTTCTGCACAGCATATGATGATGGTTGCTGGTAAGAAGTTTATTTTCAGGTCACCTCTTTTGACTTAAGAAAATAAAACAGTCATGTGTTCTGTCCATCAACTGGCTGAATCCAATATTTTCCCACATACCCTTGCTCTTCAGAGCAGCCATTTTTCTAATGACTATATTTCCAAGTTACAAACCAACATCTGCAAAATGTTTTCCATGATTTTTTTTTTGCAACAGCCCAGTGCTCCAGTGATCACCAGTACTGTAATCATTTTCTTTGCTAGTCCTTCCCAAAATTTCAAAATCTCACACCTTAAATCATTGTAGCTATTGATCTTTTCTTTTTTTTTCAAAATTCATGTCACATGGATAGGTGATTTCTATCAGATAGCAAATCTTTCTCAGTTTTCTATCATCATCAGTGTTACCACAACTTTTTTTTTTTTTTTTTTTTATTATTTAAATCAAATTTCCTTGGAACAAAGGCAAAGAAAGACAATGTACAGGTAGCATAATAACTATCTGCATAGAAAGTGGAATTGGCCAGTCAAATTAAAATTCCAAGCTTATTTGATGCATCCACTTTCATACTAATACATTTAAGGCATGAATCCAACACTTCTCTCCCCGGTATGGTAGAGCAGGGCTGATGGAGTTATTTTGCCTTCAGTGACAGCAAGCCTAAGAGAAGGAAAACTGAATTCCAAAATGTGAAGAAAGCAACATGAAACCACTACCTTTCACAAGAATGCATAACAATTCACAGATAAAAGAAAAATGAAGAGTCATGATCACCTAAATCTTCAAGGTAATGTCACTGTGTAAGTACAAAAGTACTAACTTCCAACAGTACTTGAATTCATGCCCCATGAGCCTGTCTTCATGGATAATGCCATAACTAGTTTGGTTATAGATAGCTATAACTTGACAGGACACAAATCTAGATATAATGCAATCTCTGTCCTCTATATTTACATGCAATATCATTCATTTGTACTATGTAGTAAGAAATTCAGTAGAAACTGAAAATTTTCCATTGAAAATTTCACTTCATTTTTTTGTTAGTCTCCATATCACTCTTTCTTTTTATAACAACTTAGTTGAAAACCTGATTTCAATTACATCGCATAATAAAAATGCAACAGAGATGAAGAAAAAAGTTACTATATATAGTGATTTTCCAAGCGTAGCTAAGATGTGGCACAAGGCCGAAAGTAGGGGCACCCAGTGAGGATCAAACTCACTATTCAGTCGTAATTGTTCTAACGAGACAAGCTTGCTAACCATTACACCACCTTTAGGTGCCCACCCCGGCCAAAGAAATAAAAAAATATATATATATATATATATATATATATATATATATACCAGCATATATCACCTACGAAAAGCAAATTCTAAGATGCTGCCTCATAAAACTGATCTACAAAAATAAGGCAGTGCCACTTTCAAAAATTGGTGTATGTTCACCAGCAGTGGATAAAAATCTATGGATAGCAAAAATCAAATTGCTAGATATTAATATTTTAACAGGCCTATGGCATGAAAATCATTTTGATAATGACTAGAACTGTTATCTTCCTTAGTATGTAGCTAGTTGTGGCAATTTGTTAGACAGAACATGCTACTTGTCATAGGTATTTTCTTTGCATAAAATGTCTGTTTGATTGGATTACAGTACTTTAAAACATCATGCCATTAATTTTCACAACTTGCCCTTCATTTATAATTTATTTTATTCCTTTATATGTTTCAGCAAGCATAAATCTAAAGTCTTTGGTCACTAGTTAGAACTTTAGTTATGGTAATGTGTCAGATACACCCATCTCAGGTTGCTGTGGCTAGTAAATGTTTGTGGAAGGGCAAAGGCAGACATTAAGATATGCAAGTAACAATAGTATATAACTTTAAACTATCATCGAAGTTATGGTACTTAGCATGATAAAATTAGTAGGTCACCATTCAGCAGTCTTTGAGCCCTCTAAATGATTTTCAAATCAATCATGGATATGTATTACTGTCATTTGTACTTGGCAGGAAGTTTAAAAACAAATATTTGGCATTAAGTCTAATAAAGTAGAGGTTTAGGTCTGACAACCCTGGTCTGCAGGGAAGGGTCAAAATTCTCCAAAAGTCCTTAAATTTTACATTTAACCAATTTATACTTTTTTGTAGGAGAGGGATTATTTTCAACACCAAAAATGGATTCTCAGGAAAAAAAAAAAAAAAAAAATGCATAAGTCAAAATCATGATTTTCTGAAAAATACAATGAAAGTTGTTGAAAACTGATATCTGTTGCCTGGCACATAGTACCAAAAGCAAGTGATTATCAATTTAATGTATAAAAGGAACTGAGTAGCATTATTCAAAGTTGGGGTGGTCAGAGACAAAAAGCAGACAAAAAAATTATATTAGTCTGACTGAATTTTATATTGTAGAGCTCAAAAATACACTTGATATACAGGGTGATTGAAAAGCAACTTCTCATTTTGAAATACTTATAATTTATTTATTAACTATAATTTTTACACAAAATGGATATGAGAGAAAAACATTCAGCATGAGATTTTATTTAAAATTCAACATGGGCACCAGATTTTGTTATCAGCTTCTTGAGCTGCTCAGGAATTGTATCACCTGATTTCACCAGGAACTCTTGTGGGAAAGAAGACATAACTTCTTGTATTTGCCATTCAAGTCCTTCCAAAGTCTTGGTTTGGCATAGTAGACTTGCCCCTTTAACCAACTCCAAAGAAAAAAAAAAAAAAAAAAAAAATCACACAGTGTTAAGTCAGGACTCACGACTGGCCACTCATACATAAAATAGGTAGTTATTATTCAACCACCGTGTAGTCAATCTCCAAAAATGAATATCAAGTTAAACCTGTCACTTATAATAGTAGTTTCAATAAGATGTCAATGACTTTCCTAGCAAATACGAAGTAGAAAAATCAGCTATCCAGAATTGATCTTCTAAAATTAAATGACTCAACTTGTACAAATTTTGATTAATTTCAAATGATCATAACTTGACAAATATTTAAAACAAAAGATAGACCAGTTCTGAAATCCTGAGATTGTATTTAGAGACTAGATATAGCACATATCACTTGAGAAATGTTAAAAAAAAAAAAAAAAAAATTATATATATATATATATATATATATATATGCTAAATGTCCACTTGTAAGCCCACTATATCTTTGCAGCTGCAACATGTAGATGCAACATTATGCGTGGTGTATTTATTGTATCCTCTTTTTTTAAGAGATGTTTTATGCCTGAAAAGTGGAGTTCAGTGCTGGCATAATGTAACAATGAAAATCACTTCAAAGTTGAAATGATTTAAGAGAAGTTTTCTCGTTCTTAAATTTCTATTACTTACACTGGTACACATGGTATGGGATCCTGTAATGTTGAAATAATCACACAAATCCATAGGTTGACAGGAGTAGTTTTCTGTTGTGGCAGGCAGGCCACTGGGTGTGGTTACATTGGTTGTGTTGCGGACACACCAACCATCCTGCAATGTGCATTCAGTTACTTGTGTTCCTGCTATAAATTAAATGAAAAAAAAATCAAAATCTGTAAATTTTTAATTCATTTTCTCGTTCCAAAATTCTAGGCACAAAAATTCAAATTAGGTATATTCACTGTTGAATAACATTCAATTTATACATTGATTTACATACAGAAAACCAATGTGTGTGTTTTTCTCTCTCTCTCTATATATATATATATATATATATATATATATATATATATATATAGAGAGAGAGAGAGAGAATCCACATCAGGCATGTACACACATACAAATAAGAATTTCACTTTTATATACATGCACTTATGCAGATAATCTGGATACTCACACAGAAGGAAAGACATTCTGCATATATGTCTACACACAGACATTCCACGTATACAAACAGATGTTCAGTGTATATCCACCCCCTATGTATATAAACATTTTTTGTATGAGAGCGTTCTGAAAAGTTTTTGACCAAAATCACTTCAAAACTTGACACAATAACCAAACAGAATTTTTCAGAATGCCTAAGAACTTTACAGCACCCTCTTGTATGTGTCTATCACATATTGCCTGTTAAATATATATTGGTGGATCAATAACTCCGTACCCCAACTCAGAATTTTTATCTACAATTTTGACTGTTTAACGTTTAGTCTATGCAGGATTGTTGGGCTAAATGCAATTAACAAAGGAAATTATGCTGAAAAATAAATATTGGTTAAAATAAATACACTTTTTTAAATTTCTTCATTAGGTTATGGATTTATTGATATACCAGAATAGATCTATTTTACATATAATGTAAAAGCATTGCTGATGATTTACTACTGAAATGCATTGAGAATGGGGAAAAAAAAAAAAAAAAAAAAAAAAAACAACAGGCAGTCTTAAATGCAACTTCCTTTCATGCTGCTGTTGAATTAATTTTTTTTTGTGGGGGTGCAAAAGCATGGACCATAGAATCAATACTGGATGGGACGTATACATACACATTTAGAGCTGTACCGAATATCTCATGAACAAAGCATCCCACAAAGAATTACCAGTCATATCAGAAATAATTTGATGATGATGAATGTGAACCACTGGTGTATATCACTGTAAAATCGCTACCCTATCTCCATTCTGTACATGCCTTTGATTAAGTCATGCTTGAAAGAAATAGAAAATACCTTTATGTAATTATTATCCAATTGAATCAAGCAATGAATGAAAATTCTCAATCTTCTCTGTACCATGTCCCTTCCAAATGTGGGCAATCATAGCTCACCACAATCTCCTGTTCTTTGTAACTCTCAGAAAAGTTTATCTTTTTTCTGTCTCTCCTAATCCCACTTCTGCTAACCATTTATGCAGGTTTGTTAGGAAGTTTTTCTCTTACCTTCAATACATCCTGTGAAGGTCAGATTTTCTAAGCCCTCTTTCCACATTATATGTCCTATAATTTCAGATGCTAAGTGTTCTTTTTATTTCAATTTCCCTAAAACTGTCATTGTTCACATGTTCAGTCACACTTCTGTAGAACTACATTTGTTACTTTCTCTCATCATTTTGTTCCTTTTAATCATTTCACCATAGGCAATAAAGCCACTAAGAGGTTACTGAGAGTGAAAGAGAATGAGAAAACTTTAGTGAAAAGAATAATAAAAGAACATGACACATGAAGACAGAAAATGGCAATTGATGCTGCATTTAAATTCTATGAAAATCCTAAGTAGCAGAGAACCAAGAAACCAAAACAAAGTTGCACAGATGAGAAGTGGGAGAAAAGAAACTGTTAGAATAGAACTTAGAGTTATATCTAGTTATTTCAACAGTAAAACAATGAGAATAGTGATGAGATTATCCAGTATTCACTGCTCAGTACACTTTTCTTTACAATAGAACTTTCAAAGCTACAATTTGAGAATTCAGCCACTGAATTTTGCAGTTAAAATTTGTTTAACAAAGTTGTTACCCAATCTGTATGTTATGCACTGAAATCAGGAAGAAAGATATTGTTAGTCATCAACAATTAATCTAAGTAGGACCAACAAAAATACGGCTTTAATACATGAATATGTAATGAAAAATTTCTCAGCTTAACAAAAAATATATTAAAAAAAATTAAAATTGCTTTTTAGGATGCGAAGGCGGAGCAGGTCAAGAATTTTCCAGCACCTCCTTGTAGATAATGTAAATGCACTGATTTTAATTTTATGATAGCAACAAACTGAAAATCAGAGAAAAGAACTGCCAGTGGTCCATGATTATTCCAAACATTCCTGACAGAGTTGAGCTCTGTCCACTGGAAATGATTTTACTATAGAAAAAACAAAAAAAATCAGGAAAAAAAGGGATTTGGAGTAGTCAGTCAGCATTATTGAAAGAAGTTAACTTGTATTATGTAAAGGCACTGGAAATGATTTTACTACAAGAAATGCATTGAAAATCAAGAAGAAAGTTGATTTCCATAGTTATTAACTAGATATAAAATAAGGTAAGAAAAAAAAAATTATTCCCTTCAACCATCAGCATTCAAATACTTTACCTCGGACGGTTCCATTATATTTAGTCCCCTGGTAGCAAGTTGTAACAACTGGTGGAACAGGTCCTGCCAATCTGTGATCATTGCAATTGTCCTTCTCACAGCAAAGTAATTGACCAACATGGCCAGCATATGTCACCTGCAATAAAGCAAACAAATGAATTCATTCTGCTTTCATGTGTAAAGTACAGAAATTTTCATTCACTTCCTTAGCTCATGCACAATGGAAAATGCCAAACATCTGCAGAATGAAGCAAATAAACACTGAAATATTAACAAAATATCAGCCAAACACTATTTATCCAAATGTGATTTTGGACAAGGAACTTTTCCAAAGTTACTTTTATCTTCTATATAAAATTGCCACAGTAACAGCATTGTTTTTGTGTGTGTGTGTGTGTGTGTGTGTGTGTGTGTATGTATGTAAAAACTGTCTGATGGTTCTATATATCAGAGCACTCAAATATATACAACATTTGAACAGTTTTTACATACTTTATGTTCAGAAAAGAAATCACTTATACAAACACAAGAAAAACTGAATAAAAACCTTAATCACTGTACACACATATATATATATATATATATATATATATATATAAAATGTGTGTGTGTATTTAGGCAGCAATCCTTCTTTTATACAAGTTTCATTAAACATGACTGACAAGGTACAGTGATTATGCAAATGAATGTGTGTGTATATATATATATATATATATATATATATATATATATATATATATATATATACACACACACATTTCCACATATACAATTAGAATGTTAAAAAAAAAATACCTCAATGGGAGCATCATTATTGGAAAGGCAGAAGTGTTCCAAAAGTTTTCAACTATTCATTTCTGTCAACACATTCTTGAAATTTTCTCCATGTGTTTAAAAAATATATATATATATATATATATATATATATATATATATATATATATAGTACTCCTATAGAAGTGTTAACATTCTTTTGAATACGCAGGTATATATAATACACATACATGAACTGTAGACACTTCATTTACATCTTCAAAACTGAGATATGAACAACCAATCTACTAACCAGAAAAACTCGTTAAAAATTATAACATACATAACTTGTATGTTGTTTTGAAGAAATTTTTGAATGAACATTGGCTGCCAAGATGAAAACAATTTAAAATTCATGACTCTGCAGCTCACAATATTAACACCAGAAAAATGTAATTGTAATCTCAATGAACAATAGACTCATCTTGTCACTGAAGAGATTTAACAACTTCATGTTGAAATTCATTCTGCACATAAATATACAGAAATTAAAAACCACTATAATTACCCAATAGAAAAATCCATACAACAAGTTATCAAAAAGATTTATTTAGTACATCCAACAACTTCAACCTCAGACGATCAACTTAGTGATTACCAAAACAATTTTCTAAATCCTAGTTCTTAATTATGACTCGCAAAATAAATATAATCAACAAAAAGACTGAAATCAATATATTATACAAAGTCTAAATCTACACAATGATAATTTCATCTCAACTCACTAAAAGCAGAATCTATTAAAAATATATGAAAAAAATCTATTTATATAGCAAGACAGGAAACCTTATCAAACAGCTTCTTAACAATAACATTATAATTACAAGAGATGATGAAAGCAACATCTTCATAATACAGAATATAAGCTTTAAATTGCAATCTATTCTCAGTGACTACACAAGATTTAGTTCATTCAAATTCCAAAAATTAATTATCATCAACCAGTCAACCTATGTAGTAATGTTAAAATTCATAATGCTATTTCCTCTCTCTACCCAGTAATATCACATTCCTATTCAAATATACAGAAAAAAAATACAGTATTACTTTCACAAACAAATTCTGAGAAATCTTACTACCCAAGAACAAAATATTAACTTCCCTAAATGTAGCAAACCTATTTATAAATGTCCCTGTTAATAGCACATCATTAATAATGTTTACAACCCTCACAATCTCTAACTACCTAAAACTGGACCCTCTATATTAAAAAAAAAAACAAAAAAACAAACTTGGTAGCATATACTAAAAAGTTCCATTTTATGACCATCTCAGCAACTCTGGGTTTATCTTTCTCAAACTTTCATATAACCCACACAGAAAATAAAATATTCAATGAAATACCTAAGCCAATAATATATAACCAATACATTGAGTATATTTTTATTTTAGCTATAAATGTAAGTGATATTAAAAAAATAAAATAAAATAGATATTCAAACCTCATTCTGTTCTCAACTTTATAAACAAACTAAATATTGATAAAAAAAACATCCCTTTCTTACCCCATCCATATTGATTAATGAGGATTGAAAACAAATGTAAAATAGCTATTATGAAAAAAAAAATAATAGCTCTGAAGTGATAGACCTGTTCACCCCTACCACTCTGAAGTAGAATGGTATATTTCACATTGTTTGTGTTTGATAAATAGAAACCAACAAATTATTTTGGTTGAATAAAGCCTCAACTAAAAGGCCTCTCTTTAGTTTCACTTCAATTCAACCAAAATAATAATAAAAAAAAAAAAAATAAAATAAAATGTTTACTGAAATGAAATCGGAGATTGCATTTGGTGCCTTTCTCCCCAATGGCTACTCAAGAATGGAAACATTAATTCTGAACCTTTGAAAGATTTTTCGGAGGCCTTCCTCAAGAGAATCTGTGGCTCTTGGCTTTCTTTTACCTCAAATATACAAGACGATTTCAGAATTTATTACCAACAAGGACGCTATTGGTTTACTGAAATTGTAGTACATAAAACCTAACAAGGTTTTCTTGCTTTACAACTCACTGTTCGACTGGTGATTCTCTGGATGAATACTTTTTGGGCATTGAAGATATTAAGTAAAGATTTCAACTTCCAGGCAGTAACAGTGGCTCAGTATTGTGAGGAATCTATCCTGAACATGTTTATTAGTGGCCTGTAATCATCATCAATAAGACAGCATTTATTAGAAAGTAGAAAATTGGCTTTGGCCATAATGTTTGACCAAGTGAGTGCTTTGGATTCAGCTCAAGAGAATTTTGAGCTGTACACTACTACCCAACCTCAAGTAGTAAATGCTTAGGCAGCATACCAGAATATTAGTGAAAATATTACTGTAGTACCTGTTCTTCAGACAGCTGTAGTGAGAGCCAAATGTGGCTTTTGTAGTTTTCCATGGTATCCACATACAAAATGCCCAGCACTTGGAGCAATATGTTATCAACATCGGAAGAGATAGGGTAGGTTATGTTAAATTCTCAATGGCAGCTGGGACTTCTACAGATCCAAATGATCATGCAACAATGGCCACAGTGACTTCAGCACCTGCTCTGGGTTCCCTAAGGAAAGCAGTAGTAAAAATATTTGTCAAAGGAGTAGAGGTATCAGCTCTAAGAGTTTCATTCATCCAGTCAGTCAAGTGCTACTCCTTGATCATTCATTATTCATTGGGATCTGTTTGTGTGTGTGTGTGTGTCTTTCTCTCTCTCAAACAGACACACACAGACAGACATCCAAGTTTTGTTTAGTGAATCTCAGAATTGACAGCCAGGATATCAGGGAGTGCACCAATGTACTTGTCAAAGACTTCTAGAAGAGGCACGAGTGTTACTTTGAAATATGGAGGAATGCTACCACCTCTCATCATCTGTGGCCTCAGCACCTTAGAGATGGATCTACCCAAACACTTTGCCAACCTTACAGCAGATAAACATCACATATTGGCTAGATTTGTATGAGAATAGTATATTTATTGAAAAAAAAAAACCCAAAAAACCTAGTGTCTGTTGAAGAAGGGAATAATAGAACTGAGTAATTTCCCTTGGCAAGCACAAATTATTGTAATCAAAGATGATAAGCAACATTTGGCCATTGATTAGTCTGAAACTATTAACAAGTTCACACTTCTAAATGGCTACTCTCTGACCTTTATTAATGACACAGTGAACAAAATTATGCAGTACTGTGTTTTTAGTACTATTGACTTGCGGAGTACCTATCATCAAGTCCCTATCAAAAAATGGAGATATCCCCTACACAGCGTTTGAGGATGGTGGTGGTCTATATCAGTTCAACAGTGTTACCAATGGAGAGGCTTGCTTTCAAAGGATCATGGACTCCTTTGAAGAGCAACTCTTTGGAACATATGCCTACTTAGATAATATTACAATTTGTGGTCTGACTCAGTAGGAACATGATTTTAACAACAACAGATACCTTAAGGCCTCAAAAGAAAAAAAACGTAAGTTACAATTAAGAGAAATGTACTTTTTCAGCAAAAAGGCTCAATATTCTTGGTTATGTGAGAGGAGGAGGAGGAGGAGGAGGAGGAGGAGGAGAAAATATCCAAACCCAGAACTCCTTACTTGGACTTCTATTACCTTAAAAAAAAAAAAAAAAAAAAAAAAAAGTCACTCCACCAAACTCTAGGCCACTTTGCTTACTATTCCCAGTGAATATACAATTATTCAAATAAGATCTGCCCTTCAAGTACTAATACTACTACTATATTCCTGGTAACAAAAAAAGCAGAAGCAGCTTTCTATGCCCTTAAGGAAGACCTTGAAAATTACGTAGTTCAGGTGATCGATGAGTTCCTACCATTTGAAGTGGAAAGTGATGCATCTGAAGTTTCTATAGCAGCAGTTCTTTCTCAGGCTGCACATCCAATAGCCTTCTTCTCAAGAGATTTTCAGGGACCCAAGAAGTTCTATGCTTCTTTTGAGAAGGAAGCTCAGACAATCATTGGGGCTGATCATCACTGAAGGCATTACTTGACGGGAAGAGATTTTACAGTGAAAACGAACCAGCAAACCATGAAGTACATGTTCAATAAAAAAAATACAAAAAGTAAAATAAAGAATGACAAAAAAAATACACTGGAGGATGGAATTGTTTTGCTATAATTTTGGCATCCAATACCAACCAGGCTGGGAGAATGTTTCTCCAGACATATTTTCTTGGTCATATTGTGGAGTGGTATGTTATGATCAACAATCTCTAGTAAATCTATCAAGTTTTGTGTCACCCTTGAGTTAGATGTTTACATCATTTTGTGAAAGTAAATATGCCCCTATTCAGTGTAGGATGCACGGCAGTTAATTAAATCCTGTAGAGTACGTGTGGAGTGCAAGTCAAACTTTTATCAGCCTGAAGATATTCATCTGATAAAAGCTACTCAGTCTTTAGAGTGTCTGAGTATGTATTTTAAGGGACCTTTGCCTAGCAAGAATAGGAAGCATCATTTTATTATCCTTATAGATGAATATTCAAAATTCCCTTTTGTGATCCCCTGTGCAGATAGGACTGTTTCAACTACTATTAGTCTTTCTCCCTCCCTCTCTCACATTTGTTCTCTATTTTTCGCATGCCTGCCTACATCCACTCGGACAGGGGCCCATCTTTTATAAGTAAAGAATTGCAGAGGTTTTTTAATTGGTAAGGGAATTGCCTGTAGTAGGACCACAAGTTATAATCCTCAAGGAAATGGCCATGTGGAGAGGTTCAATGGAATAATATATGGAGGACAATTACCATGTCTCTGAAATCACATGAGACATCTGTTCAGCACTGGCAAACAGTTTTACCTGATGCCCTTCATTCATTACTGTGCACAGCTACTAATATGAACCCACATGAAAGGTTTTTTTAATTACTCTAATCATTCCTCAACCAGAGATTCACTGCCATCATAGTTATGTAACCCTAGACCTGTTCTCCTGAAGCATCATATTCAAGTGAACAAGACAGATATTTTGGTCAAAGAAATGGAACTTTTTCAAGCAAATCCACATTACATGCACATCTGATGCCAAAATAGCAAAGAGACTACAGTATCTACTAGACATTTAGCCCCAGCTGAGACCCCAGTTAATGAGGAACCCCAAGAGATGCTTATAGATGAAGTGAGAGAAGCATAGAAGATTATCCAGCTTTGCCAGAAAAACTTTTGAAGCCATCCATATTAAGTCAAAACAACCAACAAAGACTGATGAATTTTGAACAGGCATTCTAAAATGTATTAAAAATCTCAGAATTCACAATATGTCACGGTCACACAACACCAAAAGAAACTTCAAAGCACAAAAAGATAACATCATGCTCACCCGACAACACAGATTCAAACTATCACACAGATTTGATATTAACTGAATTTCTTTCTTGTTAATGACTAAAGCTAATCAAAAGCTCTGAAACATAAACACAAATTGTAGAGAATTTGGGTTACACCTTTAATACTAAGATATGGAAACACACTCATTTACCAAGAAAAATATACAAGAGATCATCACTTGTCCACTGTGTGTGTGTGTGTGTGAGTGAGATCTGGTGCTATTACTATATATTGAGAGATCCTTGATAAAATCCACAGAATCAGCAATATTATTGGTCCTGATCTGGCGTCTCTTCCTCAATTACTTTCCCACTGCTGTAAAGCTGCTTCCCTGTGCCTTTTCTACAAATACTTTCATGGATGGAATTTGGATGAGCTCTTTACCATGGTACCTAAACTTCATGAATTTAAATGCAGTACTAACTGGCGATGAGGTCTCACCAATTTATAGTTGAGTTGGCTAGATGTAACCGTAAGTTCTATGCGAACAGTTTTTCTCCATGCTTTCCAGTCAACTGTAATCTTCAAAAGTTTAAATGCAATATCAATCGCTTTCTGTCTTCTTGATTCCTAATTTTGTTCTTGCTCCTTAGTAATGTTTGCTTTCTCATTCTTCCATGCACTGATATCTGTTCTAGTGGCTTTACTGCCTTGCTTGGGGTGAACTTGATCAAATGTATATATATATATATATATATATATATATATATATATATATACACACACACACAAAATAGCACCAGACTACAACAATAACTAAAAAAAGTGTAAATTATAACTGGAGGAGAAAATAGTTAGAATCACCTTTCCCAGACCAACACAAATTACAAAATAAAAAATCAGAACTTTGTTACATAAAAATCAAAATCTTAAAAATGCCATCTTTATAACATCACTAAGAAAAATGTAAATGTGTGTATTATATACAGTACAGATGAATATACTTAAAAAAAAAAAAAAAAAAAAAAAAATGAAACAAGACAAATCAGATACCAGCCAAATTGGCAAACTGTACAAATACATACCAACAACTATATAATAATAAACAATAGTGAATAATAAATAAATACAAAATATATTGATGTGATTAATAAATGTGATTTAAATGTTAATAAACAACTGTATACAATAGATATTAAATAACAACTTCCCAGACCATAATTAGTTCTAATCAATAACTGTTAGAATTATCTAAAATAACCATTCCCACTTATTCAACAGCCATTAGATTAAGACAATAAACCAGAAATAACTGACCTTGCTACCCATAATGTACTAATGACTAACATATAAACAGTAGAGCACAACCATATCACAAGATTGCATTCAAGCATGAAACAAATTGTCACCATTCAGTGTTGAACTGTGTCCACACTGATTACATATTACATCTAAAAACTGAAGAAACTAGCTGTTAACTTAAATTGTTAGAAACCTATCAATTTCAACCTCCCTACATTATTTTATGACTATTTTTATTACTGCAGATTTTATCACAACAGAGTTGATCTGAAATAAGTATCTGTTCTGTGGAGATGGGATCTGATAATTTAATTCATTGCCTATCTTACTCTCAACAATCACAAAACATTTTCCATACAGTTTTGTTTTTGTGTCAGTTAAAAATGCTTTTAATGTTGTCCTGTTATCTCCACTTTTGTTTGGATACTATTATACATCCCACTAACATACACACACACATTATATATATATTATATATATATACATACACACACACTATAAGTAGAACAGCAACTAAAAAAAAAAAATGGTAAAAAGGGTAAAAAAAATGTTCATTAAGTGACAAACTACAGAATGCTTCATGGCACAGCAAATATTTGAAAAAGAGCATGTGAGTGTCTATGTCAGGGTAAGAGAGAAATCACAACTACATTTCAAAGAAAAAAGTGGCCTTTTTAAAAATCTCCAGATTTTTTTTTTCTATAGAGGGAAAGAAGAGAACTTCATATTTCCCATTATCAATATGAATTAAACAATAACCTGTTCTGGTTCAAAGGTCACTTTTTTTCTTTTCTTTTTTTAGTGGTTTCAGATTAAAAATCATCCAAGTCTTATAGCCTTCACTTGCTTAAAGAAGAATCATAAAATCCACCCCTGACAATCATACAAGATATTTTTTTAACTAAAGATTTTTTTTTTTTTTTTTAAATCTCCCACCACATGACAAAGCAAATATTAAAATAAATAAGTATGCAATAAATCAATAAATATTTGCTCATTGACCAATGCCGGAGTTTCACATCCAACTACTCATTAAGTTCAGATTTTCAATAAATATCTTTACATTATCATCAGAACTCATATTTACACCTCTTGGAAATAATGCTAATCATAAATTTCAAATTCTTACTGCATGAGAGTTTTGTTAAAAACGAACATTTAAATTTAGAACCAATTGAAGAGGTCCTTTTTTTTATTGAAATTTTTATATCACCATATTTAATTTTACAATATGTACATGTATGCTTATAAATATATGTAGACATACACATTTTTTTATCTTATTAATTTTTTTTTTTATATATCCCACAAGAAACTAAAATCTTTTGTTTGCATATTGAAACAAAAAGACATTTACTTACATTGTATAGTGGAGCTGCACCTTGCACATGGTCACATAAATGATGGTCATCACAAGAGAACATTGTGCTGACCCCACCTGAATTATTGTACTTAAACACAATGCAATGTGTAGTTACTATGGGAACTCCGGAATCAGAATTATGCGTCACATTACAGATACGGCTGCGTGTCATCAGGATGTTATCATAGGAACCAGCATAACACCGTAGTGTTGCATTCTCCTGGTGACGTAATCTGCAATATGAAAGTGGAGAAAAAAAAAAGATTTTTTAGCACAGTACAAGAATTAATAAGATATTTAGAAATTTTATTTTCTCACACACAATGTGTGCACATGAGAGAATATAATATATTTTGGAAGAAGAATGTTAATGACAAGTAGCTTTGAAGAGTTCTTTGATAGCAAACAAAAAGTTGACAAGTGTCCAAAAATGTCATGATGCAGAACATCAAGACATTCTATATAAAACAGGTATGACTTCACCTGTGATGTTTGTGATACATTTTGCTTGAATAATGCAGAAAGATTGAAAACATGATGCTATTATTCTATGAATGATGAAATGGCATTAAACACTAACAATTCATGTTACATTTGTGAGAAAGTGTGCAAGTCAGTTAGTGGGCTTTTTTTAAAAATACATGCAAACATTCACAAAAAATAAACCTAGTGGCAACAAAATGTGTCTGCCAACTTTTGGCCATAGGTTTTAATAGTTTAAAGAGCCATATCTGTTTAAATCAGATTCAAGTCTTACTGTGAGGTTTGTGATTATTATACTCAACATTGAGGTACTGCCGCCATTATATATATTTTAATTAATGGATTATTTTCTTACTATGACATTTTAGTTATGTGTATGTATGTATGTATCTACGATATAAAATGAAAACATAAAAATATATGAGATAACAATATATATTTTTATATATCAATAACAATACTGGGGAAAAATGTATGACAAAGCAGAAAAAGTTTTCTTGTGATACATTTCACTCTTTAGGATTTCATTGGACTAAATTTGTTATGTCAATTACACATGCACATGAATATCTACGAACAAAAGTGATAAGAAAAACAATCTAAATGAAATCTGCTAGATTAAAAAAAAATCCTAACATTCATGCGCATGTATAATTGTACCAACCTGGCAAATTTAGTCCAATGTAGTCCTAAAGGATGAAATATATATATATATATATATATATATATATGCTTGGTGCATAATTATCAGGCGTTTTTGTAGGCGAGATTTGTTAATAAAAATATTTTATTTTCAGGTTATAAAAATACGTGTCAATCATATGCTCTGGAATAATCATTTAAAAATGTATTGTTGAATTATTATATTTCTTTTCCCATCATAGTGTTTTAAAACGCCTGATAATTATGCACCAACCATATATATATAACTTAAAACCCACCCTATCACCTTTAGCTTGTTCAGGATTTTGAGAGTCCCTAAGTTTTTGTATATTCTCAGCATTGGAAGCTTTCTTGGTTGCCGTTTGATTTGGGTTTTCATTTGCACAGGACTTTTTCCTCGCTTCAGCCTTTGCTCTTTTGATTGCAATCTGGTTTTCTGTTCATGGAGATTTTTTTGCAAGGTATACTGCTGCTGTATTCAATAGGCAACATTAAACTACAGAAGAACTCAAAATCGATTGATCGCTGCATTTAAGTATTGCATTAATATGTAAGCTTACCTTTTAAAAGTCCAATGATAATTCTTCTGCTACCACTTAATTTAAAGATGATTTGATAT